CTGATGGAATTTTTCTGTATCTTAACTATACGAATGTTGACGTCCTGATGCTGTACTACAATTTTGCAAGATGTTAACACTGGGGGGAGCCAGGTACAGGGAACAGGGGATCTCTGTGTGATTTCTTACACCTGCACGTAAACCTAAAGTTACCTATAAATAGTTTAATTTAAAAAAGTTGTCAGACTGAACCTACTTCAAATCTCTTCTGGCGTCTGAGAAAACGACTGCTTCCAAGTGTCTTCTCGCTATAATTTTGTTAGCAGACCAAAGGTTAAAGGTTTCTAAGTTAAGCTTGAGTGCTGCAAACACTGGGGAGAAACATACCTGGTGTCTTGGGCCAAAATATCTGCCAAAACAAACTTGCCTACAGAAATCTTGTCAAGGGACATGTATTAGCTTATAAAATAATTAACTGTTTAGCTAGAGCTGATATGTTCTTGCTAACACTGCATGCTAATTGAGGGTTTTTTGTTTTAGTATCGTTCAATTCCCTTAAATTATCTATCCCCCTCCAAACAGCTATGGGGAATTTCTTTTCTACTTTAGTTTTTTAAAAAAAATTCATCTGTAAAACATGAGTATGTTTTCATTAATATTTAAACAAAAAGGCAAAGTTCCTTCGCTTCCCATCCCAGTCTTCTCCCTAGAGAAAAATCAGTTGTCAGTTTAGTATTTCCTTCTAGACTTTTTGGTGTGTATTTCTAGACATACGTACACAGTTTTGCACACTTTTTTTCCTAAACAAAGGTAGACTCATACTGTTTATACTGTTTTTCAAATTCCCTCTCTCCTTTAAAATGTCTTGGAAATTTACATGTCAGTATGGTTAGATCTGATTTAACTTGTTCTTTCAATTGTCCCACAGTATTCTGTGGTACTGTTATCACAGTCTGTTTGCCTGCTGACACTTAGGAAGGTCCCAATTTTTGCTACTGCCAGCAATGTAGCCAACAATGAAAATCCTTGTATATGTTCCTTTGAGCACATACGAGGCTTTATTTCTCTAGGAGAGAATCCCAGTAGAACTCGGGCTTTGAAGGCGTGGCCATCATTGTGGATTGGCTGAACTCACCACCTGTTCTCACTCATTACCAATCATCTCCTCTCTCACACCCATAAGAAAGGCTTAAAAAGCTGGAAACTCATTTTGCTTGCAGTGAGGGGTGGCCATGTGACCCAGTTCTGGCCAAGTAAACGTCAGCAAAAGAATGCTGAGTGGTCCCTAGGAATGTTTTCACTGGCACTGTCCCTTTTTCCTGCCCTGAAGGTGACTGTGGTGTTTGGAGGGGTGGTGGCCATGTTACAACATGAAGGAAAGCCAAGAGAATCACAGTGATGTCAGCCCTGACATCAATGAGTTGCTGAACCAAACCTAGCAGTAGCCTACCTCCAGACGGCTTGTTATATGAGAAGAATAAACTCCTATTGGTATAAGCTGCAATATAAGTCTGGTTTTTTGTTACTTGTAGCCAAATGTTTCAGTACTAAATTACTCTTTAAAAAGTCTGTACTCACTTTATTCTCTCACAAAAGTCTTTAAGAGTATCCATTTCCCCAAACTTGCATTTACTTTAGATGTTGCCAATCAGTTAAAATGTTTAACCAAACTGCATGAAAATGTTTCGCATGAAGTGGCATCACTTCATACATTTATTGGACATTTGGATTTCATCTATGACTTTCTCATTCATCTCTCTTGACTACTTTCCTACTGTATTGTTCGACGTTTTCTTATTGATTTGTAAGAGGCAACTTCCAGATAGCAAGGCGAACTGAATTAAACTCAGGAAGAAATCTGTCTCTGCATCTTTACACTATCAGTCAAATCAAACACAACTAAGAAATAAATCTTCCATGACAGGCCGGGATGACAGTCATCTCGGAGAGGTGCACCACCACGTGGTAATGTGTCAAGAAGTAATTCAACTCGTGCAAAACACTACAGCCCATGCTTAGCGCTTCCTTTGCAAATCAACACCTAAAGCAAGGCTTATGGAATAGTAACACAACGGTGAATCAGGAAGAGTCCTTAAAGTACATCATCTCATTTAACCCTCAAATCAAACACAAGAGGCAGTCATTATGAGTCCTATTTTATAGGATAGACGATGAAAGTAAACTTTTAAAACCAATAGTTTCTTTCCGACCACAAAAACAACATTCTGGACCCATATTTAAAAACAAAATGATTGTTTACATAAAATTAGAATTATGTAAAATATATTGCGCCTATTTAAACACATCAACATGATTAAGCTTAGCAGCATTGCCAAATCTGTTTAGTGGTTTATGAATCTGAAGAAACTGTTCCAAAGTTTGACTCCAAAGTTTATTGCTACACTGTAGTTAACCAAAATTGTTTCCATTTTTTAAGGCAAAAACTACATCAAGAAGGATTTTAATGATTCAGCAAGAAGCTACTAGCTAGCTATGCGCCTCTCCCTCTCCCCCACCCTCAGCCCAGAACAAGGAGGTAAAGAATTCCTCTAATCGGTTAATAATCAACCAATCTGACACTGAAAAACAAACAAAACAAGCTGTTAAAGATGATAAAAGATTGTGGTGAAAAGCAATGTAAACAAGCAGAATAGAACATGCATCATCCTGAGTATTTGCACATGGTTTGGATTTCGGATAGATTGATTCTCCTTTAAAAAGCTGAGCGGCTAGCAGCTAGAGGAAAAGAGAAAATAGAAAAAGATACTACTCCTGGAGTTAGGTGGCAGGCAGCAGGAGGGCTGAGGCCCGGACAAATATTTCCTTGCTTCATGCCACACCTCTCCTCACAAAGCTGTGGATTCTCTCTGGCAAAGCATCACACAGAGCACTCAATCCACAGAGAGTAAGGAGCACAGGCATCAAACCTCTTTGATGCCTTCTACTAAACCCTCCAGGAGGGGACACACCCAGCCCAGAGCCTGCAGGCCAGGGCCCCAAGAACTGACAGTCCTATGGCAGGAAGACCAGACCAGGTAGGTGCTGTCTGCTTGGGCCCCAGGTTAACATGGAGGTTCACCTGGAGCACTCTCTTGTAGAATTTTTTTTAAAAGAGTTCCCTCATTTAAAATAAACCCAGCACTCAGATGCCGGTGGGACATGAGTGACTTCAGCATCTGGAGCTTCTGTTTGTGTAACATGGTCATGTTCCCCGTTCTGGAATTTTTAGCCAGTTTGTAAGGTACAGAAAAATGCCTGGGGGAGTTTGAATTCTCACTTTACATAAAAGAAAACGGGTATGCAGACACAATGTTTACAGTCTACAAAAGTGCAAATGGGTTGACAAATCCCCAGTCTGAGGGCACCTCTGGTGGTTTCTTGCATGTTCCTGGTGGGCTTGCCCAGTGGTCTCTGTTTGGGGAAAGGCAGTGGTGTGTTCCCCTATCCCCATCCTGCTTTCTCAGAAGGGCTGCACCCCACACCCCCCTGGCACAGCAAGGGTGATAACACACGGAAAGAAATTTGACTCCTTCCCAAAGTGAGCTGTGGCCAGTCCAGGCTTGGAGAGGGGAGGGGTCCTGGTGGGCTGCTCCTGAACTCTGTCCAGGTGTTTGCTGGGTGCACAGTGGGAAGAGAGTGAGGCAACCTTTAGTCATCAGAACAAAACAAGCCAGATTCCTTGGCCTTTCAAAACAGTGTCCAAGCCTCAGGATAGCTCAGGAGAGGGTCAGTAGGCAGGGCGCATGAGCGAAGGGGACACCAAGTCTCAGAGAGGGTCAGAATCAAAAAGAAAAGGAAGAAGAAAGAAACAAAAGGGTGATGGGGCTCAAATGTGCTAAAATCAAACCACTGTAGCACAGTGTCAGCTCTCTGGAAAGGGACACACCTGGCACCCTAAGGTCTCCCTGAGTGCCTGCGGGAGCCAGGCACTAAATGGGCCCAGGGAGAATCAGGCTTTGCAGATACTCCCAGGCTGGTGTCACTGAGACTGCAAAGAGCCAAGAAGGGAGAATGGCTTAGCCCTGCTTGACCACCCCCTCCCCCCCCCTCCCTTGTACAACCAACTAAACACACCCAGGCACACAGCCTGTCTTTTGCACACATACGGTACAGGCAGGCGCACACATCTGCACATATGAGACCATGGGCAGGCACACACATAGCCTTCGTGTGTGTGAGTGCACACACACACTCTCCCAGCGGATGGACACAACATATCCAACATGCCAGTGGGTGGTGTAGGCACACAATCGCACACACATAAACTCCGTCAGGAGTGAACAGGAGTGAACACACATTTCTTCATGTTCAGGCTCATGAAGGCAAAGGTCTCACACACCCACACATACCACCACCTCTTAGGTGCATACAAACCTCGACATAGGAGACATACACAAAAGCTCAGCCGTTAGGAAAGTATGCACTCACAACCTGTTAGGTACCCGCGTACCCTACAGTCTCTCGAAGTGTGCACACACAAGTTAGTGCACACACTCACAGCTCATCAGGCAACCACACACAACCTCTCTGTCTCGTGCACACACAAAACCCACCAAGGCACACGCACTCACAACCTGTCAAGAACACAGAACCGCTCACAACTTCTCTGTCGGCATGAGCGCAAACACAAACTCCCAGCCGGCCAGGGTCACCCCGCACACTCACAACCTCCCGCTGAGATGCACACCCAGCCTCACACGCTCTCTGCCAGCGCAGGCACGCTCAGCCTATCTCCGCCGGCACATGCACACTCACAGCCTCCCCTGCGGGCGCACCCCACACCCCCTCATCCTCGCGGCCGGGCGCACCCCTCCCCCAGGCTGTGCCAGCGCCGAGCAGCAAACTCCGGCCGTGCGGGCTGAGCACACGCCCCCGGCCCGCAGCCGTCCGGCCCGCCTGCGCCCCTCCTCACCTTTCTCGCCGGCGCCGGGCGCCCGGCCCTCGT